CTGCTAACCACAAGATGGCTGCTGTGCCGCATCAACTGATGGTCAACTCTGCTTGCCAGAACCGCCTTCCTGAAACTGTATTCCATGGAGACTCACCTACAGTTGCGGAACTGCACGAGACCCACACTTGATCCAACCTTGAATGGAATCTATTTTCCCTATTGTTAAAAACTTTGGACTCGTGACCCCTCTCCCTCTACTCGCAGGTATCGCATTTTCAATGACCCCTCTGGAGGATAGCTGTCTATAGCAGAGATAGAGTAATTGGGAGAGGGGGAAAGGGCTGAGGGTCAAACATAGGATAAAAAACATATTTATATGTATGAAAGTAGAAATGGAACAGTATTGGTGATGACATGCTTGATTAAGACACTATGTAGTTTATCCTAGATGGGAAACTACACTTGGTGTGTTGTGATGATACTCAGGGAATGAGTGGTAGGCAATATAATTTAATATAAAAAAAGTAATAAGCAGGAGAAAAAAAAATGCACATTTGATGACTGAAGAGAGTTGTATGGACACAACTGGGGTCTACTTTATAATATGTTCATTCTACTCCCTGGGGTTTATGCCTAGGATCAGATTTGGATACATGTGTAAGGATATGTCAGCTGTGCTAGCTAGTGGATATACTTAGACTAATTGAGTTCATTGGTAGAACAATTGAATGGGGGGGGCGGAAGGCATTGAGGGCAATCATGAATGTCAGGGACAATGGAGGAGGAAGATGGGACATGGCAGAGGGTGGGGATGGGGAACCTAGGATGGCAAAACAAAAGGCAAGGTATGCAGGACACAAAAATTGGGAAATCATTTGCTGAGAACATATATGTTGATGTGCTTGATTGAGCCAATGCACAGTGTATTTTGGATGGAAAATTCATATGTGTGTTGTGATGAGAAAAAAAATTTATAATAAAAAAAAAAAGAATTGTTCTAAGTTCAGCTTACCTTTTTAGAACAGAAAGCTCAACTTAAAAAAAAAAATGTATATAAGAGCATTTCTCTGATCCTACATAGACCTAAGCAGATAATAATATCAGAACTGTCAGCATATTGGTTATTTTCTGGTTTTAAGAATGTGCGTGATATCTAGCTCTATCAAGTCTTTGTGGTACTGATTCATTGAAATGATGTTCCAAAATCAGAAGTTATTTCGTCTTGGGGACCAGCAGTTAGCACAGTGGCTATGTCACTGGACTCCCATGTAGTCGACCGTGGTTCGAGTCCCAGACCCAGTGGCTTAAACTCATGCCGGGCGCGTGTGCGTGCGTACCCAAGATCCCAAGAGGAGAATGGAGGAGAAGGGATTGCTGCGTTGCCATCCCCCCTGGGGGGTGATTTCTCGCTTTCTATCTCTTTGTCTCTCTCTGTCTGTCTGGCGAGTGCATGCGCCCTATAGCAAAAACCTCTCAAAAAAAAAAAGAAAAAAAAAGAAAAAAGTTAATTCATCTTTAAAATTCATCATTGGGATGGCCCCATAGTCTAGTGGAGAGTGGAGGCTTAATTCCACATGGCCAATCGTAGTTCCAATCCTGGCCCTGGAGGCTGGAAAAACTTACCAGGTACATGTTGTATGTGTGCCCCAAACCCCAGTTAAATGGAGCAGTGGAGAAGAAGGGATTGTATGACCAGGCCCCACTGGGGCATGCTTTCTCTCTCTGTTGGGTACATGTGCCTTCTGGCAGTTAAAAATAATTCATCCTTGAGAGAGCCTGTTCATAAGTCAAATTTTGGAAAAGAATACACAAAAATTATGATTACTTCCAGACACTAAGAATCAATATAGAAGTCCATGAGAATCATTAAAAACTATTAAAACTGGTAATTTTATTCACATAAAGAAAATTTGATTTGGCTTCACATAGTATACAACATTTTATTTGAGATGAATTAAACATCTAAACATGGGAGAGGGATAAAGGGAAATCTAAAAGCATTAGAAAAGTATTTAGGGGAATAGTTTTAGGAGTTCTAAGGGTAGAGAAAGATTGCAGTGTAGGTCATAAAAGAAAAGATTGCTGAACTTGATTACATGGGGGAAAAAATCAACCCACTGTAGGTAGCATAAAGGAAGCTGTAAACATATGCTAAAAGGCAATGGCAGCCTGGGAAAAGGCGTTTGCATAATTCAGACAAACAATTACTGTCCAGAATATGTAAGGAACTACAGATACATGAAAAAAGACAAATAACCCAGTGTAAAAAAGAAAAATGGACAAAAGATACAAACAAGCAGTTTACAAAAGAGATAATCTATTCTGCCTGTTTGCAATTGGAAAATATTTGTGAGTATTCTTATTTTGTGGCAGAATGGTTATTTGCCTAAGTTCACTGGTATCTGTAGCCTTGCATCAGAAATCAAATTCTTATGGGGCTTTGTACAAATAACAGACCATGTTGAAATTAACCTAATTTTTTTTGGAGGGGGTAAATAAGTTAGTTTATACCTTTCTTTAGTAAAAGGAAGAATGGAGCAAGAAGAAAAAAATTGCTTCAGAAGAAAATTACAGTGCTCTTGTCACTAGATTCTAGCTTTTCCCATATTTTAAGATCTTTTGTGAATCAATAAAATGTGAAAAAAAAAAGTCTAGTGTGGAAGGGAGGGAGGGAAAGGGGAAGGAAAAAATGGGTAAAAGTATGCTTAACTGACAAAAAATGAGAAGCTGTTTGCTGATGATAATGTATATAACAACATCCTTGTCTTGACTGACATGCATGGGTTTTGTGTTGGAAAAAGAAATGTATACTGTAAAGACATGATGGAATGCAAATTAAAATAAATAAATTTTAAAAATTTCATCTTTTCTTAATAACCAGCAGATAGGAGTACATGGTTGGGAAATGCAGATGACTACAGTGAAATGTGATTTCTCTCCTGTCTGACATCAAGTGTTGACTTGGACAGTTATCACATGCTAGTGGCCTAGTGGTTGAGGGTCCTGAATACCACATGACCAGCTGCACAGCTTGAGTCCCAGATCTGACAGCTTGAAAAACATGCCAGATGCTTGTGTGCGCATGTCCACGATCCCAGGAGGAGGGTGAAGTAGAAGAGAAGGGATTGTAGTATGACCATTCCCCATGGGGGTGCTTTTTTCCTCTTCCTCTCTCTGTCTCTGATGAGCACATATGCCCTCTGGCAAGTTAAATTAGTATGTTAATTAATGACTTCAAAATATTTCTGCCCTGTGGTCTAGCAAGTCCAAATCCTGAATACTCTAGAGAAATTGTTGTGTATGTGCTCTTCTAGAATAATCATTACCCCAATGTTTATAATAGTGAAAGACTGGAAGCAACCTAAATGTCTGTCTATATTGGAATGAGTAAATTAAATATGGCATATTTGTGTGATGGAACTTTAAAAGGAATAAATAAGGATCTGAATATATTACTATGTAAAGTTAAAAAGGTCTATAAGGATTAACATATTTGTCTGTATATAAGTTTATATACAGAGTTGGCTATAGATATGTGCAAAAAAATAAAACATAGACTAGTGGGGCCAGCAGGTGGTATAGTAGTTAAGATGCTACACTCCCACATGGTCAGCTGCAGTTCAAGTACCAGACCTGGCAGCTTGAAAATTACGCTGGGCACATGTGTATGCATATCCAAAATCTGTAGAGGAAAAGGGATTGCGACAGGGCCATCCCCCCGGGTGGTGACTTTTGCAGTTTACCTCTCTTTGGCAACCACACATGTCTTATGCAAAAAAAAAAAAAAAAAAAAAGCATAGACTAGGGATCAGCAGATGGCATAACGGTTATGTCACTGGCACGTAGTTGACCATGGTTCAAGTTCCAGATCCAGCCGCTTAAAACTAATGCTAGCTGCGTGTGTGTGCATGTGTGCCCAAGATCCCTAGAAGAGAATGGAGGAGAAGGGATTGTTCAGTGGCCAGTCCCCCCCAGTGTGTGTGTGTGTGTGTGTGTGTGTGTTTCAGTATTTTTTATTAAACTTTTAAAAAAAAAACCATCAAGTATACTTACATGTAAAATAATACTTTCAGAGTAGGCTAAATTTAAGTTTTATGTTAGTTCCTCTTGACACTGTTATACTAAAATGTAGAGAAACAAATGACATTTTTGCACTGTATTTTCAGTGATGCCAATTGGTGGAAAGGAGAAAATCACAGAGGAATAGGACTCTTCCCGTCTAATTTTGTAACAACTAACTTAAACATAGAATCTGAGGCAGGTAAGTTAAAATTTAGATAAAATCTATTGAAGATTTTTTTTACTTGAATTTTATGACTTAGTTTTGTATATACAGTAAATTGGCATTTAACTTTTGTTCTGAATCATCTATTTATAGCTGTTAACAATTTAACTTATTAACTGAAATATGGTGTCGATCATCTCATTTCAATTCTGAGCTGTTTCCCTTTGTTTTAAATCAGACTTTAATAGTTAATGTACATAATTAAATAACAGGCATAAAATCATTTGTAACCACATAAATATTGAAGCTAACCTAATTATACTGTGTAAGAGGCAGGGTGTTTCTGTTCTGTACAAAGAATGTTGTTTATATTTGTCATTGAACCAGACTACCAAAGTGGGGAGGTATAGAAGAACCTGTTTGGCAAACCATATTTACAGGGGTTAGGGACTCTCCTTTACTTCTCCTGAATTTGATTCTAGGGAACTTGAGACAAGAACAAAGTAAGTCATCAAGACATTGCGGTTCCTGATTCCGGTCTGCTGCTCTCCACTCAGTTCTGCTGTAGCTGTAGACAGTTCCCCTTTGCTACTGCCAGCCATGCTGAGTGAGAAAGCATTCCATAGGTCTTCAGGCCAGAAGGTGGAGGGAACTGAGTATAAACAGCTACTTACAGCAATGATGGCCATCAGATATCATATTGGTAATGGTTTGGGAGCATTCATTATTTGTCAGGCATTGTGCTAAGTCCTTTGCACTGTTTCATTTAATTCTCACAGGTTTGTGAGATAGATATTTCTGTTACCTTGTTTATTAACAAACAAGAAAACTGAGACACAGATTATGTGTAGTAAGTAATAAAGCCAAGAGTCTATAGTCAGCCAGTCTGACCCTAGAATGTATGTATACTGACTCACCATGACACATACACGGGGTCTTCCAAACCGTCATGGAAAATGTGTATTATGAAAAATTACGGGTGGATTTAGAAATTTTTGTGCACTGCAGTTAATTTGTATGTTAAATCTATTCTTCCACAAACTTTTTGACATCCCCTTGATCAGCGCTAATCCCTACCAGTTATGGAGCAGAAACCTAAAAGGTAAGCTCTTTGCATCACATGGAACATTATCTTTGTATGTGAAGAGTGATGCATTCAGAATAATGAAATTTGTGAGGTGCAGATACTCACTCACTTGGAAACCAAGTCCTTTGATACTGTCTATACTTTTTATTCCTGTAGTCTTGGCTCTCTGTTACTAAGCATATTGGAGATGCCTTTTTTATTTATTTTTTTCATAAGTTTGTTTATTTTAAGATGAAGAGGAGAAAAGCACCCTCAGTAGGGTCTCATGCCCCAGTACTCCCTGCAGCCTTCTCAGCCAGCCAGGGTCAGGATGAGCACACACACGGCTTAGGGATATTAGGGATCAATCCAGGAACAGAACTCTGAACTCCGCTGTGGCTTCCAGCATTGCAGAGCACTGCACTGTTGCTGTGTCTGTACCACCTCAGCTAGGCCTGTGGACATCCTTTAAAACGTACTTGGGAGCCTACATAGCGGTTTTCCTTGGCTTAGGCTAGAGAGATTGTATTGCCCTTTTAAAAGTAAAAACATATTCTAGGTTTTCTGGTATATTTTTGTGTAATGCTGGGCTCTTTTTTTCAAGACATAGTAAAAAAGGTAGACATTTAAAAAAAAACGCTAATTGTCAGGACTGAAGTCTTTTTGGTATATAGATTTTTAATTTTTGCCAAAATTTACTTTATTAAAGTGTAGTGCATTTTAGCAGTACTCCAGAGAATAAATAATTTCTTGATATTTATTTTTATAAATTATTTTTCAATCTCTGTTTATGAAAGACTTGTATGTTATTTTAATTATTAGGAAACTTCAGTTAAAAGTAGGTCAATTTTTTCAATTTGAGGGACTTAAAAAGTATGTAGTGCCAACTCTATGGCCTTGTGGTTAAGGTAGCAGAATCCCACCTGGCCGACTACACAGTCTGAGTCCCAGACCCGGTAACTTAAGAAACACACCAGGCATGTGTGCCCAAAGTCCCAAAGAGTGGGTGGGGAGACTGGAGGTGAAGGTTTTGAGGCATGACTGTTCTCTACAGAGGGGTGCTTTCTCCCTTTCTCTCTCTCTCTCTGTGGCAAGTGTAGCATCCTCTAGCAAAAAAAAAAAAAAGTTTGTGAAAATATTAAATTGAAATATAAATTTATTGGGACCAGCAGATAGCATAATGGTTATGTCACTGGACTCGCATGTGGTCAACCACTCTTCATGTCCCGGACCCAGCAGCTTGAAACTCACGCCGGGCGTGTGTGCATGTATGTCCAAAATCCTGAGAGGAGACTGGAGGAGAAAGGATTGTGGCATGATCATCTCTACTGGGGGTGATTTCTTGCTTTCTGTCTCTCTCTGGCTCTCCAGCAAGTGCACGCTCCCTGTAGCAAAAATCTTTCTGGGAAAAAAAAAAGTATTTTGGTACATTTTTAAAATCTTTGTGTAATACACATATTCCATGAACTTTTTAAAGACCCCTCACTTCCATGGGAAACAGGTGTTTTGTTGTCATTTTTTATAGAAGGAAGGAGTGTAGACGAAATTCGTTGTTGTAACTATGAAATTGGTTAAGTAGATTGTGATGTGTTATCTCTTGTGTATTCATTCATCCCAGTAATAGCACTCAGATTTCAGGAAAATGCCTGTAATGACAGCTCCCATTAACATTGTTCTCTGATCCACGAGAATGTACGTTCCATGAGGGCAGAGTCTTGTCTGTCTTATTCACTGATGTATGTATACATGCTTAGAACGATGCCTAGTGCATACAGTAAGTGCTAAATAAATACTTGGGACATAATTGAATGAATGTATGTAATAATATATATTGATTTTGAATAGTGATAGCTAAAGGGCCTCTACCTTTTTTGTTATGGATAGGCCACTTAAAATTAATGCAAAAATTATATAAGTAAATGTGGAGAAGCTCAAAAGTTTACTGTTTCCATAGCAGCTGTGGACAAATTGAATATAATCGAAGATGATGTGGAGGAAATTAAGAAATCAGAACCTGAGCCTGTTTATATTGATGAGGTAGAGTCTTTCTTTTGTTTAATAGTTACACTGTTAAGACTTTTCAAATATTTTGTCCTCAAGAATGCTTGGAAAGAGTATTTTTATATTTTCTGAAATTGAAACTCCATTGAGTTTTTAAAATATCCTACAACTTTTATAGGATAAGATGGATAGAACCCTGCAGATACTCCAGAGTATAGATCCAACAGATTCAAAACCAGACTCCCAAGACCTCTTGGATTTAGAAGGTACTTAATAAATATTAGAGATTAATTGACTATTATTTACTATTTTAATAGTTCATGATGTTTTGAATTGCTTCTGACTTCTGTTTGCCTCTAGAGATTAGAAATCCCTGGTGAGGAACAACTAGTACAGAAAATAGTAAAAGTATTACTTAGAAAGTGTTGTCATGAATGTCCATATTTATTTAAAGAAAGAACTCTTTGTATTCCTGTAAGTCACTATTGAAATTGGCTGAAAAGATTGACAGCCCAAGGAAGGACAGATTTAGAAATAACAGCATTTTAGTTTGGTCAGAATGTTAAAAATTCTTATTCCTGTTAATTCTCTTGTATCATGATTTTAAAGGTCAAAATTATATATGACCAATGTTAACTTTGTAATATAATCACTTGATGTATGCTGATGCATACTAGTCCCTAAGGAATTTGAAGAAATTAAAACAAATGTTTGTATACTTTTTTTTTAAGAATTTTTTTTAACTTTATTTTAATTTGACCAGAGAGGGACAGAGTGAGAGAGGGAAAGAAAGGGAAAGTGAGAAAGTAAGCCACCACATCCCAGACTCGAACCAAGGTTGGCCATGTGAGAGTCCAGCGCCCTTAACAACCATACCACCTGCTGGATCATTGTATACTTTTTAAAAGCAACCCCTTGGAGGACCAGCTTGGTGGCATGGTGGTTAAGATGGCTGGATCCTACGTGGCTGACTTTGGGGTTCGAGTGGCTTGAAAAACGTGGGGGCACATATGTGCCCAAAATCCTGAAAGGAAAGTAGAGGAAAAGAGATTGCAATGTGATAACCCCTTTTCTCACTTTCTTTCTCACCCCCCACACCCCTGCAAGTTGCATGCATCCTATGACAAACAAAAAACCTTAGGAGAAAAATCTTTGTGGCAAATGTATGAATCTCCTTAAGTCTTTTCGTAGAAGAAATTCTGGTTATGAATATAGGACATTGTGGCATTTGTTATATATATGGGTTTGCATTTAGAAATATACTTTTGTATATATTCAATTTTGAAGTGTCTTAAATAAAAGAAAAATGTTAAAATCGGATGCACACATTGTTACATGTATTCTATGCTGTGACTCAAGCTCATTTTACTTAGCAAATAATAGTTTTCTAGATATCTTTAAGACTTCGGGATGACTCTAGATAGTTCCAAGGAATATAAGATTTTTATTTTAATTTTGACCTTGCCTTTGGTCACATGATAGTAACATGTAGTAGTAGTGGTGCTACATAGATTAAAATTAGACTACCGACAGTCTTTCCCCTAGTATAAATTTAATTCTCACGTTGCGTATTTGTGCTCTTTGTTAAAAAATAGTTGAAATCAGCTTAAAGTGGGTTAAGTTTCTGGATTCATGAGTATCTTTCTATTACAGGTATCTGCCAACAGATGGGTCCGATAATAGATGAAAAACTTGAAGAGATTGACAGGTGAGAATTTTCATGCATGGATTCAAAACTATGGCTTTTTTAGGTTTACATGTTTTGGCACACTTTAAACGAGGGAAAGTTTGTGTGTAACTGTCTGGTCTCTTGAAATTATTTTTCATTTTCCCAACTCACAAACTAATAGAAAAATGGTATTTTTATTTTGGTGGTACTTGATTACTTTTTAATGGTAATATAGTCTCTTTAGAATCACAGACTCTTGCTTTGCTTTTATTGCACTAGTCTTCATTTTTTTTACTTGGGCTTGAAGAGAGGGGGTAATGAATAAAGTAAATAGATAACGAAATAGAGATGGAAATCTCAGGAAGGCATTGGCTTATTATGTAATAAAGTAGTATTTATAAAAGTTTGAAGTGAATTTTCCCAATCCGTTAAATGCAATTCAGCACACCTTCTTTTCTCATTTCTCTCCCTTGTATTTCTGGTTTTTGTTTGTTTGTTTGTTTGCCCTTTTACTTTGCATATCTCACCTGGTTTTACTGTTCTTTAGAAATAGCAACAGGGCCAGCAGGTAGTGTGGAGGTTAAGGCAGCTGGATCCCACTGCCTACAGTGCAGTTCAAGTCCCATACCTGGCAGCTTGAAAGTCACACCACGCAGGCATGTGTGTGTGCATGCACAAGATCCTGAGAGGAGAATGGCGAAGAAGGGATTACAGTGTGGCCATCTACCCTGGGGGGTGATTTCTCACTTTCCCTCTTCTCTCTCTCTGTCTCTCTCTGGTGAGTACACATGCCCTATAGCAAAACTTGAAAGAAAGAAAGGAAGGAAGGAAGGAAGGAAGGAAGGAAGGAAGGAAAAGGGAAAGGGAGGAAAATGGAAATGCAAAGTAAAGAGAAGAGGAAAGAGAAAAAAGGAAGGAAGGAAGGAAGGAAGGAAGGAAGGAAGGAAGGAAGGGAGGAAGGAGAAAAGAAATTGCAGCAACTTTGGAGATGGCCTTGTAGCTAGCTAAGTGGTTAAGGGAGTCAGATCCCATATGTGCACTGCAGTTCAAAATCTGGCCCTGGTGGCTTGAAAAAACCCTGGGTGTGTATCCAAAATCCCTACAGAATGGAGAAAGGATTGTGGCATGACCACACTATCATTGAGGAATGCTTGTTTTCTGTCTCTCTCTCTCTCCCCCGTCTTTTCTCTGGCAAGTGCACACACCTTCTAACAGTTTTTTTTTTTTTTTTTTTTTTTAAGAAAGAAATATCAGCAACATTGAAGGGTAGACAGAGTTCAGAGTTTTAACATAGTTGTTAAGTGAGTAGTAGGAGATATAGTAAATGAAAGACAAAGGACAAGGCCTTGGTCTTCCATCATTATCTCTTTCTAGCTCTTGTTTTTTGAACTGTAGTATAAACAGCACAAGAAGAGTGGAATTAATTAGGAAAGACCAAAATAGTAAGGAAAACTACCAGAGAAGTGCAGTAGTAGCAAGACTTTTTCTAGTCACTGTAGATTGTAGTCTTTGTTTGTGTATTTTCTATGAAAATGAAAAACATGGGCCTGCTGATGGCATGATATGTTAAGGCAGCTGGATCCTACATAGCTGACTATGCAGTTTGGGTCCTGGACCCAGCAGCTTGAAAGACCTGCCAGGCATATGTGCTTGCATGCCCAAAATCTGGAGAGGAGAACAGAAAGGGGATTGTGGTATGGCCATCCCTGGTGGAATGTGCTTTCTCATTTTCCCGCTTCTCTCTCTCTGTGTCTCTGTGGTAAGTGCATGCATCCTACAGCAAATTTTTAACCTCATTTATTTATTTATTTTTCATTTTGACCAGAAAGAGAGAGAGCAAAAGAGGGAGAAAGAGACAGTAAGGTGCCAGGTCCAGGACTTGAACCGCAGTTAGCTATGTGGGAGTTCAGTGCCCTTAACCACCCTGCCACCTGCTGCCCCCTCCTATAGCAATTTTTTTTTTAAAAGAATTTTTAAAAAATCCCTGTGGCAATTAATGAAATAATGGAAATAATTTCATCATAAAGTATTAAATATCTGCTATACATCTACCACTTTGTTTCTATATAAGGATGTTAATGGTTAGTAAAAAATCAAACTGGCAAAGACTAAAAGAGAAATGGTCAGTTTACTGCAGGTCTGACCAGTAGTATAATTATTATTAGCTTTTCCAGAGCTAAAAATAGTTCATGTCCTTTAACTCAGCAATTGTAAGCCCATAGTGATTATCTAGGTATAGATTCAAAGATTTAACTCAGGGTATTCATTCATATTTATGACAACAAAATTGAAAGTAAATAAAATGTCTTTCAATGTGAGATTGGTTTTAAAAATATATATATAAACATATTCTACAATGGAAATTATTGATAAATATCTATTGATAAGGAAAGATATCATAATATATAGTAATATAAAACATGACATGACAATGTAATCATATTTTTGTTTATATGAAGAATTTTTAATAATTATTTAATTTTAGTATTATTATTTTTTAATTTGATATAGGGCATGCATGCCCACTGGAGTGTGTGGGAGATGGGGATGAGAAAGTGAGCCGTCAGGTCTCGGACTCAAAATGTGATTGGCCATTTGGGAGTCCAGCATCTCAGCCATCATGCCAGAATATATGAAGAATATCCTTAAAGGAAAAGACCTAGAAGAATTAAAAGTCAGAGTGTATCTGATATGAATTAATTTTTTAAGTGAGAGCTCAACCATTGACCAATTTAATTCTGTAGGGCATGTGTGTCGGAGAGACAGAGAAAAGCAGAGAGGCAGAAAGCAAGAAATCACCCCTCATGGGGGATGCTCAAGCCACAGTTCCTCCTCCATTCTCCTCTTGGGATTTTGGGCATGCACACACACGCACCCAGAGTGAGTTTTAAGCCGCCAGATACAGAACTCAAATTGTGGTCAACTACAGGGGAGTCCAGCGGCATAACCATTGCTCCATCTGCTGGTCCCTCAATTGACATTTTCTTGTTCCATGACTACTGACTACAGATGCAGAAAATGCTTCCTGTTCTTCAATAACATTGTATCGATGGCTTACCCTTCTGAGGTGAATAAAAATAATTCTTTTTCCCTGGTGAATGGATCATCACCAGTTTGATTTTCCTACTAAGAAAAACTCTCTTGTCAGAAAGTTAAATTGTACATTTCAGTCCTGTTATTTTACAGAATACAATTTTGTAGCATTATCATGCTCAGAAATTATATTAGGTAGACATGTAAACTGACTATTAAAAAAGAGTTTAAATTTATTGAAGAAAGATTCATAGTACTTAACTGTGTTCCACACTGTCCTAATCCTAATTCCTACTTCCCTGCAAACATAATTGTGTTTGGCCCCGATCAGGTTGTTCTTTCCATTCTTCCTGGTGTGCCTTTCCCTTCCCGTAGTCTGTCTTGGCTCGCCCTGTCCCCTGACCGGATACAGTCTTGCTTTTCTGTGTGGTCTGTCCATCCTAACTCAGATACCAGCTTCAGTCTTTGCCGCTCCATAAAACCTTTTCTGTCTACCATAGCCTGATCTCATCTATAGATTCTTCCATTTACTACCCATTTCATATAATTTTGCATTTATATCATTTGCAATTTTTTGTGTTGACCTTTTCTCCCTGGTAGATTGCAGTCTCTTCAAGGGAGAGAACCACATCGTCTGCTTACTTTTTTCTCTTCTATGTATAATGTTGAGTACAGTTCAATATTTTTTTTATTTTTTTTGCTTTGGGGTTATGTCTTACATCTTTAAAGATTTCAAACACAGTGATCATGCCTTTCTGCATCATTTTCCTGGTGTTTGATCAGTGTACTGGGTTAGGCAGACCAAATTCCTACAGTTAATTCTTAGTCACACATTTGTTAGCATTGCCACTTAATTTCTGTACCGTCCTAGGTGGTTTGCAACAGGCATTTCTGAAAATAGAGTTTGACCTGCTTTATGTAATCATTTAGGCAAAGGAGGGAACAAGCACATTTTTGTCATTCAGATCACAGATGCTGATTTAGAAAAGAAGGTGATAAATCTTGACTGGCCTCAGGTCATTTATTAGATAGTCTTGGGTCTGTTTGCCTACCTCTGCCTCTCTGTGTTTACATAAACAGGCTTGGTCCAGTTGTGGTGTCAGTGGTGGGACACGACTGGGCAAGGCTTAGATCACATGGGAAGCCCAGGTTTGGTTGTTCTTGGACCAACCTGAATAGGCTTGGTAGTATGCAGCTGTGGTCCTAGCTAGTTTGGAGGCTGGAGTAGAGGAATGGTGACATGTAAGACTCTGTTGGAAATACCTGTCTCTTTGTCCCTTGTCTTTGGATTCCCACATGGCTGACCATGGTTCAAGTCCCAGACCTGGTGGCTTGAAAATCATACTGGGTGTGTGTATGCATGCCCAGGATCCTAGGAGGAGAATGGAGGATGGGAATGTGGCATGGCCATCCCCACTATGGGTGGTTTTTCACTTTCCCTGACACTGTCTCTGTCTCTCTCTGGCGAGCACATACACCCTATAGCCAAAACCTCTTAAAAAAAAAAGAGAGAAATAAAGAAAAAGCATCAGCTTGTGGATATTTTAGGCATGATAAAAAGTGACTGTTTAAATTTTATAAGCTTAAAAGTTGTGAAAAAAGTTACATATTACTCTCAGGAAAATAGACAAGTCCAAAGGATTTGCTCTGGAGTTCCTTGGGCAACCTGAGAATGCTCTTATTTGGATTTGTTATTACACAACGTGGTGTCTGATTTCACTTTCTCGAAACCAGCCAGTACAGAGGAGCAGTGGAGACTAGTATGTATATACATTTGTACATACCATACATTTTTACTTGCATTTTGAAGGGTAATTTTTTTTTTCACTTGATACTATGGTGAATATAAACAAATGGAAATGTGTGCATTTATGTGTTTTTTGTAATTAATGTTTTCTTTCTTCATGTTAAGGATACGTACACATATATGTAAGAGAGTGAGAGAGAAAGATGAGCACCCTCCACATATACCTGTGTTTTTATTTCATTGGACTTCACAGAAAGACTCTCAGTACTTTGTTTTACTGAGATTTGTAATTAAGGCTTGGACTCTTAATCCAGCAACTATTTTTCTTTGTAATTAAGTTTTGCAACAGAAACTGATAACATATAAAAAGACTTTCCTAGTACCAAAATTATGAATTGATTGTGTTTTATGAGGCATGGAAAAGACTTGTCCCTAATATTATAAAGTCATATCAGCCTAGCAATTAGAAGAATTAAATAATTCCTCCTCCCAGTTTCCCTTTGTGAATATTCTTTCATTATATATAGAAAGAACCTTTTAAAATATGAATAGAGAATGTGCTAAATTTAAAAAATAATTTGTTGCTGAATACATGCTTAAAAATGAGAAGAGTATTAAAACACTTTTCTTCTGTATCAGGAAGCATTCAGAATTGTCTGAATTAAATGTAAAAGTCTTGGAAGCTCTGGAACTGTATAACAAATTGGTGAATGAAGCACCAGTATATTCAGTCTATTCAAAACTCCATCCGCCAGCACATTACCCACCTGCATCAGCTGGGGTTCCAATGCAGGTGAGCATGTTTTTTGAGAACATTTTTCAAAATTACATGAAAGTTTTAAATTAAAGGATAATGTCTTTACAGCGCAGTTTTAAAATTTCTGTGATTCACGAATAAAATTATATAACTTTGGATAGTTTTTCAAGAAGTACTGGCTTAAATAATTATTATTCATGGAACACATTAGATACTGGTATGTCACAAATACATTTTAGTTGAGTTTTATCATGAATGAAAAGCACATTAAATATACAAGGGAAGTTCTGGTTCTTCATATGCTTTTCTAAGTATAAAGCATAAATCGTTTATGTAAGTATAAATCGTTTTTGTAAGAATATAGTGCAAATTCTTTGATTTAGAACAGCACCTGGCATATCAGAAGTCCCCTGGGTGAGGTCCTGATGGCTGCTCCTGCCACCAGCAAGAAGATCTAACATTTCTTTAAAAATTTCTATCAAACTTCTTTGACTCATGATTATTAAAAGTCTTAGTTAATCGGCTCCTTTTGTTTTCAGAGTATACTTTGTATTTTCTTTTCTTAGGTGCATGACTTAAATTGTTAAAATTTACACACAGCAAAGATACGACACAGGCCGGTAAGGTGCAGATTCCATAAGCCATCCATAAACGTCATTCTTCCCCAGTGCTTCATACTTTTTGTGTGCTTGCCATTTGAAGTGAATCCTCGAGTTTGTTAGGATACCTATTCTGCAGTCTTTTTCAAATTTTAACCCAGTAGTGATTTAATTCAGAATGAACTCAGAAGAGCTCGTGTTAATTTATGAAAACTGATCTGTAAAAGGGTGTGCAAAGGAGACACCAAGGAGAAAAGGTAGACTATGTCTTGACACAATGCAATTGCTAAGTGAAAAAGAAGAGTTACTATGGTAACTGTCACATCAGATAAAATGCATTTATCAACTATGACATGCCTCAAACTTTCTAAAAATTATATATCAGGTTAGGAAGGATTTCTGGGTGCATACTGCAGTTTATTTAGTTTTGCTTCTGTTTTCGAGAGCTATTTGCTATTGCTGTGAAAATGGAACAGAATCAGAATGTCAGTCCCATTGTGTGACAGAACTAAATGTTTAGTGTGAAATATGTTTTGAGATCCATGCATAATTTTTTAAATTTATTTATTATCATCATAATCTTGTTTATATTACATTGAATCACATACAGCTTTACAGTATTACATTTCTTTTTCCAGAAGAAATACCATGCACATTAGTCAATACAAAGATATTAAAATCCCCATTTCATCACCCAATAGCTTTTCATTTTTTTCCCAATTATTATCATAATTTTTAAAAATATTTTCCATGAACTTTTGGAAGACCTCTAATACACTATTGAAGCATAAGAGCACCTGAAATACTCTAAAGTTCTTATTCTGTTTTGAAAAATGATATCCCTACTAGAAGCAGCTAGGGTAACACACCATAGTTGTTATCTGTGAGACTCAGGAACCCTAAACTGCAGAAGAGGTCTCACAGTCTCAGCCTATTATCAGCCTATTATCAGGCATTATCATGCCTGCTAAGAAGATCATTCAACTGCACTTAACGTATTAGGTTGTCTGGAAAGTCATGATGTATTTTTCTATGTTTTTCTATGCAAAAATGTGTCATGACTTTCCAAACCACCCAGTAGTTTATTTATTTTTTTTTGGAGGGGGGGGAAGGTTTTCGCTATAGGGTGCGTGCGCTCACCAGACAGAGAGACAGAAAGTGAGAAAATCACCCCCCAGGGGGGATGGCCACGCCACAATCCCTTCTCCTCCATTCTCCTCTTGGGATCTTAGGGATCTTGGGCACGCACGCACACGCACCCAGCATGAGTTTTAAGCCACGGGGTCCGGCACGTAAACCGCGGTCGACTATATAGGAGTCCAGCGACATAGCCATTACACTAACTGCTGGTCCCCACTCAGTAGTTTATTTACCATTACTGGTACTTTTCGTTTTCATGTGAATGGTCTGTGCTTTGAAAATAGCTGAATTTGAAACTAGAGTGATTGGGGCAAGCAGGTGGTGTGGTGGTTAAGGTGCTGGACTCCCACATGGCTGACCATGGTTCAAGTCCGGAATCGGACTTGATTTTTCAAGCTGAGTGCTTGTGTGCATGCCCAAACTCCCAAAAAGAAAATGGAGAAGGGGTTGTCGCATGGCCATCCTCTCTCAGGAGTGATTTTTCACTTTCCTTCTCACTGTCTCTCTTTGTCTCTCTCTAGTGAGCACACACCCTATGGCAACAAAAAGGAGAAAGAAAGAAAGAAAAAGAGTGATCACTTCTATAAGATATTTATTAAATACGTGCTTTGTTTTGAATGCTACATGTAATTGGTAGAGAGTAGACCCTGTCCTTAAGGGGCTGTTATCCTGCAATTTAAGTAGGGACCATATAAATATCCAGAAACAGAGACCATTTTTGCTGTTTCTTGAGGATACATCCTTTCCTTGACCCACACTTCTTTTTTACTTTTGTCCTGTCTGTCCTGAAAGCAGGGAGTAAAGTAGACACCTGGCACCCTGCTATCACTTCGTCTTCAACTTCTTCTCCTGTTTCATTCTTAGGAAGGAGCTGAATAGCCATAATGGGATGGGGTGAAGAAGGTCGTCATCCTTATGGTGATGGGCTTCCCTTCAAAGGAGAGTAGTTTCCCGTGACTGTACAGTGAGACACATTACTGAGTAATAGGCGGCCTGGGTAGAGTCCAAACCACTACTTAAAAGTATACTACCTCAGTGTCATAGTAGTTAACATCACTGGACTCCCACATGGCCGACTGCAGTTCGAGTCCTGGACCTAGAGGCTTGAAACTCATGCTGGGTGCATGTACGTGTGTGCCCAAAATCCTGAGAGGAGAATAGAGGAGAAGGGATTGCGGCATAGCCATCCTCCCCAGGGGTGATCTCTCACTTTCTGTTACTCTGTCTCTCTCTCTCCCTCTCCAGCAAGTGCATGTGCCCTATAGCAAAAAAATCTCTTAAAAAAAAAAAAGTACACTACCTCCCTTCCCTTTGTCTTTTTCTTTGTCCCTGCAAAATAAAAAAAAAAACAAGCAAGTTGTAAATTTCCATAAACTTGGCACTGCTGTTTAGATTCTTTCCTCTTTTGATGTAAGGTGAATAGATTGGTGGGATCAGAATGCTCCCCCAAAGAACTATAACATTGTCTTTTATTAAGTCTTTTTTTTTTTTTTGGAGAGATTTTTGCTATAGGGCATGTGCACTCGCCAGACAGAGACAGAGAGACAGAAAGCAAGAAATCACCCCCCAGGGGCGATGGCCACGCTGCAATCCCTTCTCCTCCATTCTCCTCTTGAGATCTTGGGCACGCACGCACACATGCCCAGTGTGAGTTTTAAGCCACCGTTTTCCAGACGCAAACTGCGGTTGACCACAAGTGAGTCCAGCGACATAGCCATTACGCTAACTGCTGGTCCCAAGTCTTTTTTTTTTTTTTTTTTTTTTTTTTTTTTTTTGGGGGTGCTTTTTTGCTATAGGGTGTGCGCACTCACCAGAGAGACAGAAAGTGAGTGAGAAATCACCTCCCAAGGGGCTGGCTACGCCACAATCACTTCTCCTCCATTCTCCTCTCAGGATTTTGGGCACGCACGCATGAACACACACCCAGTGTGAGTTGAAGCTGCCAGGTCTGGGACTTGAACCACAGTCGATGACATGGAAGTGCAGTGATGTAACCATTACATCTGCTAGTCCCTCTATTAAGTCTTCTGAAGTTTTAAATATATTGTTAGGCAGATGTTTGGGAGATCTATCAGGCATCTTTTTGTTTCTGTTTCTGTGTTTTGGATGAATAGACTTATCCAGTTCACTCACATGGTGGAAACTATATGGGTCAGAGCGTTCACCAAGTTACTGTTGCCCCAAGCTACAGCTTAGCGCCAGCAGATCACATTGGTCCACTGAGATCTCTGCCTCCCAACGTGAACTCCTCAGTGACAACACAGTCTGCTCAAACTCCATATTTAAGGTAAGCTTTCAGGTGCTGTATCAATTTAGAAATTATTTATGTTTAACTTTCATAGACTTTCATTACGAGAACATGTAGACCTCTCTCTTCGTAATAATAAATTCATCTTTTTCCGTCAAGGTAAAGTTACAGAACTGCACGTTCCTGAGCTCATGACGTGGAGCTGTGCTGCCCTTAGCTTGGCTCCCCGTTCTGGGATGGTTGCTTAGGCCTAGGCTTACAGAATGGGTCCCTGGGACAAAATAAAACTCATTGTCCTTTATGGAGACTAAGCTGTGATGTGCCAGCGTTGTTCTGTCATCGTCCTAGTGACAGAGCCCCAGATGTACTTTGAGGCATTCCTAGAAATTAGAAAAACGTTGTGTGTTGCCCCTGAGAAGAAAATGTGTTTGAGCTCTGGAGTTGATGGTTTAATTTTTTTGTATTAATACTTCCACTCTGAGAGCCATCCTCACTTAATCACACAGAATCATCATTTAATGTAGTTACGTGCAGATGATCTCTAGCATTCCTTCTCATTCTTTAATTCCATGAATATGAGTTTTAGGAATTATCTGAAAATTAAACAAACCTGTTCATATTGGTGTTTAGTTAAAATATAAGTTTGTTATTCTTGCTAGGAATTACGGGGGGTGGGGGGGAACTGGTGACAGTGATATTAATCCTCTTGTATTGCAAGCAGTATATTTGGTGTCATTTTAAATTCCGTATTTTTTTTTAAATATACCGTAGTACTTACAGGAACAAACAGAAGTCCTGCAGGTTGATAGAACTTTTCAGTTTAGATTGCATAGCATAATAAGTCAATTCAGTTCCAGACTCTCCTGAGGGTTGATGCAGAGTCCTGTGCAGATTACAGTGCCCTCCCTTTGATATTGGGATCAGTAGATGGCATAATGGTTAGGTCGCTGAACTCTCATGTAGTTGACCACGGTTCGAGTCTTGGACCCAGCAGCTTAAAACTCATGCCAGGCACATGTGCGTGTGTGCCCAAAATCCTGAGAGGAGAATGGAAGAGAAGGGACTGCAGCATGGCCATCTTCTCTGGGGCATGATTTCTTGCTTTCTGTCTCTCTTTCTCTCTGGCAAGCACATGTACCGTATAGCCGAAATCTCTCAAAAAAAAAAAAAAAAAAAAAAGGAAAAAGCTAGAAGTTGCTGTAGAAGGAAAGCTTGAAGTGGGTGTGAGATCAGGTGGACTCCTGTGTTGAGTGGGAAGAGAAAGGGAGGATATAGGACACGTGCACCATGAGCTGGGACTCCATTCTCATTCTAGCCAGTGGGACCACAGTCAGGAACAGTGAGCATCTCAATTTCTAGATGTTCTTATTGAAAGGTTTTAGAGAAAGCAAGTTAATAGGCCTTATCATATTCTGTTTCTTTTCAAGTACTGCTCTCTTCTTACCAAATATGAAAGTCTCACAAACGTTATCTGCTAGCCTGAGTGATTAAATCATAACCGGAATAGTGGCATTACAAAAACTCAAAAAGAAGATGGAAAAAGGATTTTTTTCGTGACGATTGATCTCTAACCAGAACCTAGGTAATGCAAAGTAAATAAATTTTTCTTTTTAATTTTTTTTATTTACAGCACTGGACAAGACACCATTTCCAATCCTACTTATATGAACCAGAACTCTAATCTTCAGTCAGCTGCTGGGACAGCCGCTTACACACAGCAAATGGGGATGTCGGTGGATATGTCATCTTACCAGAGCGCTACTTCCAGCCTGCCGCATCTGGCAGGCTTTCCGGTGGCAGTTCCAGCTCATTCTGTTGCCCAGCAGCAAGCAAATTACCATCAGCAGCCTCTGCTTTAGAAACAAGCCAGGCATTTGCCTGAAAGCCTCCATAAATGTATTACTTGGCCCTTGTGATTCTAATCTGAAAATATTAAAAGAAAACGTGACACTCAACACAGAAGGACCATGAATAAATAAAGCACAGAAAGCTGTCTTACTCTACAGTCCATGAAAGGTTTTTTCCGGTCTAGTTTGTTTGAAGTCAGTCTTCTGATCCAAGGCAGCTTTAAAGATGCTCCAGGTACTTTTGTCTTACTTGCAGGTCTTGCTACATAAATCTGGTTACCCAGTAAGTAGCCTCATGACACTAAACAGTATGAGATAGGAGTATAAAAGTTTCACTTTCAAGAAACCACTGTTTTCCCCTAAAATGTCATGATAAGAAAACTGAAGACCTTTAAAGGTCTTGTCTGCGTATTTTTCGTTTCCCACATACTATTCTTTTGAAAGGCGAATGTCTTTTTGTGTAAGTGTTTAGCTTGCCAACATATTTCTTTTTGGCTTCTTAAATTGCAGTTGTGTTTGTAGTACTGTCGGTTTGCTTTTAGTGTTATGTTGAGTAATAATTAGTATATAATTTTCTACAGAAGCAGGAGCAATCTGGAAAGCACAAAAATGTTTTCTGTTATTAACACCGATAACCATGTAAATGCAGATGTGTGATCACGCATTTAGCTGTTCCTTCAGACAGTCACGCTAACAATGGTCCAAGGAATGTCCCACAAAACATTTCCATTCCCTGGGAAAAACATTTCCTTTCTTCCAAACACCCTGGTGTTCAGAATTGCCACTAATGGCCTTTCCTGGTGACTTTGGCTATTTTCTAATGAAGATACGGTCCATTCGTTTTCCTTCCTGCAGTGTGCTGTGCAGAGATACTGCATCCCCTTTTTATGGATTATATGTGAAGTCGAGCCACGGGATTCTTAGTAATGTGATGTGATGTATACTAAGCATAGATTTGTTGAGTCTTTAAAAAAACGACTGAAGTACCATTGCTAAGCTGTCAACATGCCATGCATGAAAACTTTGGCCATTCCTTTCAGAAGTAATTCTGAGTTGGTGGAACAATAGCAGCAGTGAATTGATAGAAGGTAATGGATCGATAGATAGGCTATCGAGACAGTTTTTCTGAAGGGCATGTTTTAAATTAGCTACCAGTGCTAGTAGATTCCACACCTTGTGGGAATTAGGTAGTAAACAAACAGGGACGGTTTTCTCTTCTAAGATGCGCACACTGCTTCATTACCTGCGAACTTTTTACATAACACAGGATGGAAAATGGGAATATATATCCTTACAGATACATGATATTTTGACTGAGAAAAGCAATGGACACATGTTTAGGATTTAAAAAGCTGCTTGCATGGAAGCAAGATTCTGTATTTTTTTTTTAAAGACAGCAGTTAATCTTTCTGTTAAGAATCTATTGGAAATTTTTTCATTTATCTGTTTACAGGCATTTGATTACAAGTGTGTTTCTTTTCCAAAGAAACTATTCTAGAACTAGATAGTGTGTATGATACTTGGTCTGCATTGAAAGGGAAAAATAAGCAGTATTTGAAAGCACAGTTTCTGTCATTGGACCAGATGCACATAACTGAAAACAGAGCGTCAACCTTCTATGTCTCATGCTCTATTTTTTGTCCAGTATTTTCTTCCCATGGGAATTCATTACATCTTTACTAAAAATACTCTAAAATGGCACCTTACTTTTTTGGAAACAAATCTTATATTCTTTAAACACACACACTTGTGTGTACACACACAAAGTAAACATGCAAAGCTGCTGTTGATAATGTTTGCGTGTATATGGAAAACCTTACATTTTTGTCCTATCCTATATTTAATAGAAAAAATTGTATAACTATTTCATGTAAATTGTGATCTGAATCATAAAAGCTGAATTTGGCGTAAGTCACCGAATCAGTATAAATACTGAACACTCACTAAGTCAGAATCAACCAGTTTAACTCAACTAATATAATTTTGGAATGGTAAAACATGTGACATGTATATAACTAGTGTATATTGTCATTTTTCTGTGAAATTTTTACACACAGAAATGTCTTCTTCCTCTTAAAAATAGTTGTCTTTTTGCCATATGTTACAGATTTTATGTTGAGTTTGTTAATAGTATAAAAATGATATTAAATCCATGTACTGATAATGACTTCTTTGATGTTTAGTAAGAAATGCAAGGTGGTTATTTTTCTTTTCTTTCCACAATCTTATAGATTGTATTTATTTTAAAATCTGTTTATAATTAAATGTTTTCTGCCAAAGGAATTGTTTAACTTCAGATTTCTACATTGGGTTTATACTTACTGTTTTTTATATAAAACAACATTAAAAATAACTTCTGCTTTTCATATCAAATCTTGGTATATTAGAATTTCTGAAAATTTTTAATAGAATTAACTTTATTATTGTAGAAAAATACCCTGATATTAAAATATGGGAAGTGAATATGTTCTTACAGATGGAAAAGTATACAGCCAACCAATGTTGTCTTCTAACTTGGTAATTTATTTATAGAATTGTCTGAATATTAAGTAATTATATCATTTAGGATTTGAAATTATTTGCAGATATGTTATCATCTTATAGTACTTCAAGTAGTTGATATTTGACTACATAACAATTCTATACATTTTGAAGATGGTTATTAAGTTACACCTCTAAATTTTAAAAAATTGATTGTAAATGTTTAAAAAAAGTATAGCTTAGGTTTTTTTAACAAGGTTTTTTGCATTGCTTTTGTTTTTAGTAAAAGCTATAACTTTTGAGGCTTCTGAGTTCTAGGATACTATTTATTGAATTGACATGAGAAAGCTGAAGTTATTTTTTATAAGTAATAAATTATAAATAACATAGCACTGATCTATCATGCTCTCTTACTATCAAAAGGGTTTTTTTCTTGCTTACTTGCATTAGTTTTAATAAAGGGAGGGCTCAATTTTAGATATTTGACTCTTTGGGCTTGTTTGATTTAGTTTCCCTTGAAGATTAAAGGTTTATTTTTTAAAGTTTTCCCCAGAAGAATTATTCTAATTTTCTCATGCTAAATTTGAATTTGAGAATCTTTTTTAATAGCTTTCTGTGTCAGAGAAATTACATTGTCTACATGGTATAATGGGACCAATAGCAAGCCCCCCCTCCCCTAATTTATGTAAACCTGGAATGCTGAAATGTAACCTTATTTGGAAATAGGGTTTTTGCAGATGTAATTAGTTAAGGATCTTGAGGCGAAATCATCTGGATTTAGAATTGACCCTAAATCCACTGACTGGTGTCCTTATAAGAAGAGAAGACACTGACACGCACAGTGAATGCAGCCATAAGAAGATGGAGGCAGGAGGAGTTATGCTGCCTTAAGTCAAGGACCTTGTGGGGCCATCAGAAGCTGGAATAGGCAAAGGTGTCTTCCCTGCTGTCTTCAGAGCCTGGCCCTGCTTAATTTCAGACTTTTTAGACTCCAGCACTGTGAGAGAATAAATGTTGTTTTAAGCCATCAAGTTTATGGTACTTTGTTACTGCGGTCCCAGGAAACTAATACACATAGGTAAAAAAAGTATACTGAAAAACCTGAATACTAAGCACTCAGAACTTTTCTAAGATTGTTTAAAATCAGCACAGGAGTTCAGAGAAAGATGTGTATAGTCCAGTAGCAGTCTTTTTATCTTTGCTAAACTATAATGAAATTGCATGGATAGATGAAACAAGACCCCTGTTCATTCCATAAACCCATAAACCTATTCCTTTTTGAAGTACCACACCTACATTTCATTAATTGACTGCCTTATGCAGAGGTGTTCATAGGTAACAAGATTATAACTGTCCTGCGTTTTGCTGTCTGTTCCTATGTCCATCATGAGTAGGTTTTGAACAAGGGGGAGAGATGTTCAAAGGCAAACAGAGGAGCAGAGAAGGAAGACAAACCTACATGGCCGTTCTCCCACAAAGGCCACTGGAGAAAGGGTGTTTGGTTTTCTTTTTTTACACCATTTATATCCTAATAAGGAAAACAGAGGCTTTACTAATACCTTTACAGCAAGTCAGTGGCCTCTACCAATTATGTTTTGATTTAGGAAACCAGCTACTTTTTTAAAAAAAAAAATTGAGACAAAATTGACATAACCTTTTTCTAAAGGTTTTAGCTAAGGGGGGCATGTGCGCACTTGCTAGAGAAAGACAGTAAGAGAAATCACCCCCCAGGGGGGATGGCCACTCCCCAATCCCTTCTCCATTTTACTTCTGGGATTTGGGCACATATGCACACATGCCCAGAGTGATTTTCAAGCCACCAGGTCAGGGACTCAAACCGTGGTTGTCCATGTGGGAATCCAGTACCTTAACCACCATGCCACCTTCTAGCCCCCAAAGTAACCATTTTAAAGTAAACAATTCAGTAGCAGTTACATTTACAAAGTAGTCACTGCGACTTTGGAAACTAGACCTGGGGACCAGCAGTTGGCATAATGGTTATGTCTCTGGACTCCCAGGTAGTCAAATGCAGTTTAAGTCCTGAACCCAGAGGCTTAAATTCACACCGGGTGCGTGTGTGCGCATGCCCAAGATCCCAAGAGGAGAAAAGAGATTGTGGCATAGCCATCCCCCCAGGGGGTGATTTCTCGCTTGCTTTCTGTCTTTCTGGCAAGTGCACGCACCCTTTAGCAAAAATCTCCTAAAAAAGAAAGAAAACTAGACCTTTTTGTGTATGACTTCTTTCACTTAGCATAATCTTTTTGCAGTTCATTTTTATGGTGGCATGTACCAGTACCTCAATTCTTTGAATGACTATCTACCACACTCTTTCTGTCCATTCATCTGTTCATGATACATGGGCTGTTTCTACCTTTTGGCTGTTATGAATAGTGTTGTGAACACGCATGTTACACATATTTGAGTACCAGTTTTCAATTCTTTCGAATATGTTTCTGAGAGTGGGAGTGTTGAGTCATAAAGTAGTTCTACATTTAACTTTTTTGAAAAGAATTACTTTTTTAATTGTATTTATTCATTTATTTTAATTTGAGCACAGAGAGAGAGAGGGAAAGTGAGAAAGCAAGCTACTAGGTTCAGGACTCAAACCGTGGTCAGCCATGTGGGAATGTCCAGCACCTTAACCACTACGCCTTCTGGTCCCCCACATTTAACTTTTTGATGAACTGCCAAATTTTCCCTTGGCTAAACCATTTTACATTTCTACCAGAGATGCATGAGTGTTGCAGTTTCTCTACATCCTCATCAACACTTGTTATTTTCCATTTTTTTAAATTATAGCCATTCTAATGGACATGAAGAGTACTTCATTGTGGTTTTATTTGCATCTCTCTAATGACTGAGTGTTGAGCATCTTTTCATGTGCTTATTGACCATGTGTATGTCTTTTGGGAGAGAAATAGGTCTAAGTTCTTTTGCCCATTTAAAATTGGGTTGTCCTTGTTGAGTTAGTCTAGATACTACAGCCTACACTACGTCATTTGCAATGTCTTCTTTCCACTCATCAAGTAGTCTTTTTACTCTCATAATGATGTAATTTGATCCACAGAAGTTTTTATTTTCAAGTCTAGTTTATTCTTTTGTTGCTTGTGCTATTGCTGTTATATCTAAGATTCCATTACCCATCCAAGGTCAACATTTTTCTCCTATATTTTCTAAGAGTTTTATGCTTTTCACTGTTACAGCTAGGTGGTTTGATTTTGAGGTAATTTTTGTACGTGGTCTGAGTTATATAGGGGTCCACTTCATTCTGTGTTGCACGTGGATATCTAGTTTTCCCAGCTCAGTACTGTTCGTTGAAGAGACTATTCTTTCACCAGCTACTTTTTTTTTTTAATTTAGTTTTATAGTTTACTGTAAGATGTGTGCGCTCATGAAAGAGAGAAACTGAGAAATAACTGATGCCTCCCTCTGGGGGGGTGGGAGGAAGGGGGATGGCCAAACTACAGTCTCTTCTCAGGTCTCCTCTCTGGAGTTTGGGTCCCCACATACATGTGTTTAGGCAGCAAGCTGCCAGATCCAGGACTGGAACCGTGCAAGCAGTTATGTGGGATCCAGCTGCCTTAACCTCCATGCTATCTGCTAGCCATCACTAGCTGCTTTTCTTTTAAATGTGGAAAAATTTTTAATTAATTTATATTATTTATTATTGTTAGTATTTAAATTTGCTATAGGGCATGTATGCTCACCAGAGAGAGAAAAAAGAGGGAAGGTGAGAAAGTAAGCCACCAGGTCCGGGACTCAAACCATTGTCGTCTTGTGAGAATTCAGCATCCTAACCACCACACCATTTGCTGGCTCCAGCAGCTACTTTTTGGCACTGCTGTAATATACCTAGTGGTGGTCAATTCTAAGACCTAAGTTGTGCAACTGATGCATCAAACCTGTAGCTATATATTTTGCAGTTTTAAAGAGGTGACTGCCTTGCCTTTTTTTTTTTTTTTTCTTTTCCCCTTTTTATTACTAGAGGGCATGTGTGAGAAAGACCGAGAGAGCACACACCTCAATGGGGCATGGTCATGCTGCAAGTCTTTCCTCTGTTTCTCCTTCCTGTAAGGATTTTGGCCACAGACACTCACGTGCTCAACATGTGTTTCAAGCCTCCGGGACTGGGATTTAAACCGTAGTTGGCTGTGTGGGGTCCGGCTTTCCTTGCACAGTGCTTCACTGGTGCACTACAGGGCCACCCCAAGCCTTGTCCTTATCTAATAATTCCTATCGTATATCTAAAGGGCCATCTCATTAGAATATAGCTCCCAGCAGAGCCCATGAACATTAGGTGCGCCTGTGCAGATCGTTCTTGACTGCTTCATTCAGCTGCAGACATGTGAACACTAAACTGTCCAAATAAAAAATAGGACTTAGTGCCTTAGCCTAAAATGATTTTTGTCATATTTATTTCCTGGGAAACCTCCCAGGGATCTTTGTCTGCTTGTCATTGGTCAGAACTGTGCCAAAGGACTACTCTTTGCAAATGGAGCTGGGAAGGTATTTTGATTTCCAGCCCTCTCTAAAGAAGGTAAAGGGGAAGGTGATTGAGGATAAATGTAGAGTAAGCCATTCTGTAGTACCTGCCATAAAGATCTGTCCCGTATGTTTAAAATCTGTGGTACTATCTTGTGTGTCTGGTAAATAAATTTGAATTGGATTGGTCTGTTGCAATTCCATGGTCAAATTTAATAAGATTAACGCAAGGCCAGCAGGTGGTGTGGTGGTTAAGGCAGTTGGATCCCACATGTCCGATGCTGTGGGTTGAGTCCTAGACCCAGTGGTTTGAAAAATGCACGTGTGTGTGTGCCCGCCCGCACACAAGCAGGTGTGTGCCCATGTGTATATGTGCTTGTGCGCCCAAAATCCCAAAAATAAATAGAGGAGAAGGGATCACAGCATGATCATCTTCCCTGGGGCGGGGGTGATTCTCACTTTCTGTCCCTCTGTCTCTTTGTCCGGTAGAGCACACACCCTACAGCAAAAAAACAAACACGATTCCCTAATACAAGCGTGCCATAGGTTTTAGTCTATAGGCTAGAATTAGCATTTACATCTGACCTGGTTATTTTAACTGGGACATCTTTTTTTTTTTTTTTTTTTTTTTTACTTTTTTAAACACCTCAGGAGAGAGGGAGGAGAAGGCCCTGGAAAGGGAATTACAAAGCTTCAAACTGCTCCTGACTCTTCTGACCATTTAAAACATGAGAAAATGAAGATTTATTAGCATTTATTTATTTCTCCAGTAATAATGACTGTATTTCGGGTATGTACTGGAGATTCTAATAACTTTCTTTTTCAGGCCTGAGTTATATTGATGGCTTCACTACGCACTGACTAGTTGCATAGCATCAGAGTTTGCACTTTGACAATGTACTCGTGTACATTGTCATTGCTTTCTCATAGTACCTGTTAGGTAGAGAAGTGGGTGAAGATTGGGTAACTTTCACATGGTCACAGCTATTAGCTGACTAACCTGGGATTATAACCAGGCTCTATCTGATGCTCAACTGTGCTCTCACCATATAATTACTGAAAGTAATTTGTGTATTAAGGTTGTCAGATAATGTTCTGTACCAGCTCTTTTTCCCACAAATCACTGTGAGATTGATGGAGTCCCAAAGGACTCCCATGGGCATAAAATGCTTCAAACGAGAGAGTGCTAAATGGCAAGCGGATGTGACCTATAGCAAAAACCTAATTAAAAAAAAAATTTCAGGCTGAGCTTGGAGTTTGATTACAATCTGAATGAGGGCCAAGCTTTTTAGAATAAAAAATTTGGGTCTTCATACTCTTGCCATGTCAGTCTTCCTAACCTCCTCTACTCTCTCACATACACTGAATTCTCTAACCCCTAAACCGAAAATCCTACAGGTGCCATTTTGGCCCCATTCTGCCTAAAATTGTTTTTGTCTAGGTAGTAAATTATCCTTTCAGTTCTCTGAATTTCACTGTCCCCCCAAACCATGCTGTGCTTCTGAAGCTTCTTGCAGCTATGTTCCAGTGGGGGCTGCTACATTCTATC